TTTTTGATCACTAGAACCACCTCCCGTTGCTGCCATTATGTCTCCCCCACTACTATCTCTAATACTACAGTAGCCAAGGCAACACTACAGCAATCTCTAAACTCAGGTGATAAGTTCACAAGTCACAATCAGTCACCACTGTGCACAAACTACCATTCAAATTAAGAACAAAAGGTAAACCAACATTCAAACAACACCAACAAGGCAGAAAATTGATGTAGGAAATTCGGCCATTCCTTCCAGCCCAAAGAAAAACAACTTTTGTTCTTGCTCACACCACTACTGATTACACAAAGCCATAAATCACCACTACAGTAATTCAGCAATTTACTAACCACATACAAGCCCTCTTGAGGCTGCTCAATAAAGGGTGAGCATCAAAAGCATCACCACACAACCATCTCTGTCCCACATGGTACAGGTCTGTCTAACCCCCCCCCCCCTTTTTTTTAAAAGTCACTACCAGTCCAAAGACATCAACTACAACCACTACAGTAACCCTTACACCATTCGGTCACTGTAAACACAGCCTGTTCTTGGGCCTTTTGCTAAGAACCAAGGCTACAAATAACCTAGTTCTTTAAGTTTTGATCAATTCGAGCAGATTTTTGAGGGTTTTCCAACCCAGAAACACCAACAACACAAAAAAAGGATAACCAACCTTGATGGAGAGCTTCAGTCGACCATCCACTTATTTCTGGAGTTATTCTCTTAAAAGGCAATCAAGTTCTGAGCAGAGAAAGAGAGGCCGAAGTGTTCTCAGACCTAGGTCGAGTCTGTGTTCTCAATTTGCAGTCCAGAGAGAAGAAAAAGAAGTCACGAACAGAAAGGAGCAGCGGTCACAAGCAGAGATTTAAAGAGCAACATCCTGCTCTAATACCATGTTATCTCAATGGCTTCAGCAATTTGAACCAGAGGAAGAAGAAGAAGAAGAAAAGGAACAGTCGAATCTAATAGCTTAAACCCTATCAGTCGACCCTAATATGAATTAGCCTCTAATTAGTTGTACAAAGACAAAACTGCCCCCCCCCCCACTTAAGTATGGGAAAGGAAGTCTCTATTAAAACTGCCACATAAGCACATAACTTAACAGAAATAAAATGACTAATCTACCCTTATTCGGCTAGCTCTAACAAATATGATTAAGAAGCTAGATGTGAATGGTCAGTGTGTGGAAAATACTAAAGAGGTTGAGAAGGCAGTCATTGATTTTTATAAAAATCTATATTTAGAACCTCTTCGGTTAAGACCTAAGTTGGATGGTCTGCAGTTTGCTCATCTCTTAGTGGAGCAGGCAGCAGAGTTGGAGATGCCTTTCTCAGAAGAGGAGGTCCTGAAGGTTCTTCAGGAGATAAGAAGGAGACAAAGCACTGAGTCCTGACAATTTCACCACTTTATTCTATAAGAGATTCAGGGAGGTTGTGAGAGAGGATTTGTTGAAAGTTCTGGATGAGTTTCACTCCCTCTTTGGAAAGAAGTCTTAATGCCACTTTCATTTCCCTGATCCCTAAAAAGAAAGGGGCATCTGATCAAAAAGATTTGAGGCCAATCAGTTTACTAGGTAGTGTGTACAAAATTATTGCAAAATTGCTGGCTTCAAGGCTGCAAAGGGTGATGGAGCCCCTTATTTCCTCGTCTCAAGGGGCTTTTATCCATAACAAACATATCCAAGATGGTGTTCTTATAGCTAATGAATTAATTGACTCAAGGAAAAGAAGTGGGAAGAAGGAGCTTGTGTGCAAAATCAACTTGGAAAAAGCCTATGACCATGTTAATTGGGCTTTCCTAGACTACATGTTAAAGAGGATGCACTTTGGGCCATAGTTGTCAAGTCGATGCCGAGGCGAAAAGGCGCCCTTTGAGGCTTGTCTTGCCTAATCTCCTAGCAGTTTTCTACTTCCTACTATAAAATACTATTTTATTCATTCTTTTTTGAGATTATAATTATAAAATAGACATTATTAAACTAAAATAATCATTGTGTGTTTTTATACTAATTTCTTTTTATTATTTTCTTATTTATTAGGGTTTAATCAACACAAACATTGCTAAATGCTGTATTGAACCCTCAAAGACTTAAAAACCTGAACCAATAAGTAAGGAAGAACTTAAAAATTTTATCTAATCAGCACATTTTCCTCTTCCATATATTCTTCTTCTACTTCTTCTTCTTCTTCTTCTTCTACTACTACTACTACTACCAATACTTTTTATTTTCTTCTTTTCCTATAACAAAAATAAGGGTTCAGCCACTATATTTTTTTAATTTTATTTTCCTTCTTCCTTTTCTTCTCATGAATATGTTGATTTTTTGTACTTTAACATGAAATTTATACTTTTCTTATGAAAATCATGAATAATTATTAAAGAAATATGGTTATGGTACCTAGGGAACTACCCTAGGATCTATGTTTTTAACATAAAAAATCCATCGCCTAGGCGACACCTAGGTGCCCGCCTAGGTGACTAGGCGACAAGGCACCCTCCAATTGCCTAGCCTCGCCTTGGCGCCTTGAAAACTATGCTTTGGGCAAAAGTGGAGGAACTGGATGAAGGTGTGTGTGACTACTCCTAGATTCACAATCCTTTTTTAAAAGGTCCGGAAAAAGGCAATCTTAAAAGTTCTAGGGGCTTGCGGCAGGGAGATCCCCTCTCCCCCCCTTTTATTCCTTTTGTTATGGAAGGTTTGAGTAGGATGACTGCTAGGGCTGTGGAGGGGGGTTGTTTAGCAGGTTTTGAAATAGTTCCTAATGGGGAAGAAATCCATCTTCTCCAATTTGCTGATGACACCCTGTTTTTCTGTGGGGCTAAAGCTGATCAGATTTTGGCTTTGAGGAATATCCTCTGCTGGTTTGAAGTGGTTTCAGGTTTAAAGGTTAACCAAGCTAAGAGTGAAATGATGGTTGTTGGAGAGGTCAGTAACTTGCTGTCCCTAGTTGATTTATTGGGTTGTAGGGTGGGGGCTCTACCTTCTTCTTATTTGGGGCTGGCTGCCTTTAGGGGCCAAGTGTAACTCCAAAAGCATATGGTCTCCGGTGGTGGAAAGAATGACCTGCAAGTTAGCATCGTGGAAGGCAAGGTATCTGTCTAAGGGGGGCAAGCTAGTGCTGTTAAAAAGTGTTTTGACCAGTATTCCTGTGTATTTCATGTCCCTATTCCCTTTACCAGAAGAGATAGCTTTAAGATTGGAAAAACATACAAGAGATTTTTTGTGGGTTGGGTGGAAAGATTCCAAAAAGTTTCATCTGGTCAGCTGGGATCAGATTTGTAAATCTTTCAATTCTGGCATATTGGGAGTCAGAAATGGGAAGAATTTCAACATGGCCCTTCTTGGGAAGTGGTTTTGGAGGATTTTGCAGGAGCCTGATGGGTTATGGAGTCAAGTTATTGTGCAGAAATATGGTTTACATAGCAATGGGTGGGTTACAGCAAAGTCCAACCTCTCTTATGGTTGTGGGGTGTGGAAAGGGATTTACAAAGCCTATCCTCTTTTTCAGAAAGGTATGAAGTTCAAGTTAGGGAATGGATCCAGTTTGAGGTTCTGGTCTGACCCTTGGTGCTCTGAACCCCCTTTGAAAGATTTGTTTCCTGACTTATTTCAGCTGGCATCAGATAAAGATGCCTTGGTGGTGGATTGCTCTGTTGGTTCAGGAAACTCTTCAGTTTGGTCTCCCTCTTTTAGAAGAGATTTCAATGATTGAGAGGTCTCGCAGGTTATGGAGTTGCTTTCAAGGTTAAAGGGATGCAGGCTAAATCCTCTAGTGCCAGATAAGTGTTTTTGGGGGTGGTCAAAGACTGAAGTACTCTCAGTAAAATCCTTCTATTCCGGTTTGGTGCCTGAGTCCTCTAGCTCTTTCCCCAGTCCATTAGTGTGGGGTAGTGTAGCCCCCTTTACAGTAAAGTTTTTTGTGTGGGTGGCTGCTGAAGAAAAGTGTTTGACGAAAGTTATGCTGGTTAGAAAAGGAGAAGTGCTACCAGATGTAATCTGTACACTGTGTGGGAGGAGTGAAGAAACTCCAAACCACCTGTTTCTTCATTGTGAATTTTCTGCAACAATTTGGGCCCATTTTCTCAAAGCAATTCACTGTTCTACATGCTTGCCTAATTCAGTAAAGGCTCTCTTAGAAGGCTGGAAAGTAGGGGGAATGAATAGAAAGGGAAGGATTCCGTGGAAAGCAATTCCTCTAGCAATGCTGTGGTCGATTTGGAAGAAAAGAAACAGAAGGATCTTTGATCAGAAACAGCTTCAGGTTGAAAGGGTGATAAATTTAATTGTTGATGAGCTTAGAGGGTGGCTGAACTCCAACTTGCTTTTCAAGGGGGATATTCTGGCTTCTTGTGTGGCTGTTAATTTTTTCTGAGTTTTCTTAAATCTGTCCTCAGTTGTACTTCTCTTGTACAGTGAGCAGTTTGTTTGCCTTTCTCTGATCAATAAAACTTTACTTTTTCAAAAAAAATAAATAAATGAATTTATATTTAACATTCCACTGATGAAGGGGTATGTTCAAGTCCAATGGGGTCAATCCATAAGGTATCTTTACATCCTTTTGAAAAAACTTGAGGTATATTTAAGTGAATTAATGAAAACTTAGGGTATGTTTAAGTCTTTTACCCTAAAAAGAAACTAACATTTTTTTGATAAGTAAAAAGAAACTAATATTTTAACTTAAACCGAATAATTTAATATAATAATGTCTATTTTATTATTAATATCTCAAAAAGTTAAGAATGTAAAAGTATCCAAGAGCACCGTGTAAAAAATATCTTGGTGATAAATCAAGGCAACCCTCCATGAGAACCTTAACACCTAGACATCTTGAGCATAAAGTACCATTCCTTTCACAGTAGTTCAGAATTGAGGTTCACACAAATGCATGTGGGCAAAAATAAGAAAAACATACATGGACCATTTGATGGTGAAGGAACTTATGATAGACTATACAAACCACATCTCAATAAAGGTTTTAAGCTAAGTAAAGAGAGTGAAATGAAGAACTTACTTGTATAAATAGGCAGATATTCCAAGAATTATACACAAGAGGATAATATCGATGCAGAAGTTCCGACTAGACCTCAGCTGGATGAAAACCAAAAGTACGAAGTACTATCTATTAGAAGAGTGCTATACAAAAGCAGCATAAACAACAAATGGGTTAGCTAAAAACTGGATGGTAACCCAAAAACAAAATTAGCTTCAACTAAATTACCTGTGTAACTGTATCCTTAAGTCTAACATTAGTATTCTTAAGATCAGCATTTGCCTTGTCAACCTGCAATAACATCAAAATGAATCACTGTAACAAAATGATAAAAGCTTTCAACATTTGTTATCTTGCAATAACATAGTCCATAAGATTCAAACATAAGGAAATTATCAATTTCTAACCTTTGTATCAATTTCATCCATCAAAGGAACTTGCCTATCCAATTCCTGCACGTTTTACAAAGAAAAATACTGATGATCTGTGTTTATCTTGTTCCATGCAACTTTCTGAATAGCACTCCAAGCAACCAACCTCATTCATGTCATGTGCCATGTTTTTCAGTGTATCCAACCCTTCTGATATAATATCCAGGCCTTGATCCTGCAAGAATGTCAAGTTAGATCACACAGCTATACATAAACAGTATGGAACAGGACATGTTCTCGCCTGTTTCATTTTCCGCATCTCATACTCTTGTCTAAATTGGCTCGACTCTTCGGTTTGTTGGAAATGTTCACTCTCAAACTGTCCATCTGGAATAGATTGCAAGACAAGAAACAAACAAACATTAAATGATGAAGCCTCTCATTAGTAAAAGTTATTGAACTCCCCAAGAAGAACAAATAATTGGAACCTTGATAAGTTGGATTAATAACCTGAGTCAAATTTGATTTCTGTACGAGAAGCCGAAGTTGCCCACCCTCCGGTTTTTTTCACTGCAGTAGCAGTACCATCTGGTATTGCCTGAATCCTCTCAGGCAACGCAAGAACCAAATCATTACGGGCGACAAGTTCTTCTGTTTCGAGTCCTTTGACCTATCATTGGTTCAGTATTTTCATTATGATCATTGAAGACTAGCAAGGAATTCTGCTAAATATTTGTTTTGCAAAAGGATCCGCAATAATGATGATTCATGTTCCAGTTAAACAAAACAAGAGAACTTTACATAGCAGAGCTTTTTTGCTCGCAGATTTCCCTCCACAGCTAACAAGATATAAGATTCCTAATCATCTCACTCTCACTCGTTATAAGGGTTCAGAGGACTCCTTGGTCAGTATTTTTTTAAGGAAAAAAAAAAAGTAAAGAAAGATTTTACCCACTTGAATTCATTATTATGATCAAAGTAATTATTTTTTTTTACTTTCTCGTTCTGTATTTGCACCTTAATCAGAATATTTCTAGATTTTGCTAGTATAAGTAAAGAAAGTATCTGGAAATTATGAACTTTAATGATGAAAAGGAAAAAAGTTACGACCTTGTAAATTTTGAATTCAAGGATAACGATTGTGAATCACTGGGGGATTGAATTCGATAAATAATGGAATTGGTAAGAATCTAACCTTCTTAACTGCTAATCTTTGCAGCTTAGGGACCTCTTCCAGTAAACGAGCTTTGGTTCGACGGATCTCTGCGTTCATGGCAACAGCAGCGGCCCTGTTCGTCTCCTTGGAAGCGGCCTCGGCTTTCTGATAAAAGAGAACAAATATTATCGTAAAGAATCGGAGACCTTCTTTCTGTTGTGATGTGAAATGAAACCCTCGGAAATAGAGGGAGATGGGGAATGAGAAATAGGGTAACCTGAAGAGCAGCTTCAATGTCGGCCTCGACAGTGGCATAGAGACGAGCAAAGGCATCATCACCGGAGACGTTGAGGTCCTTCTGCTTGTCAATATCATACTTATCATATTTCTTGCAGATCGCGTCAACGCGAGTAAGAATGTCGATCACGCTCATTTTCTCCCTCTTGTTTACAATTTTCTAAGTTCTGATCTAAATTCAGAACACAGACACAACTAATGGGATACAGCGAAATCGGGAGAAGAAGAAAGATAAGACAGAGATTGCCTGGGAGACGACAGAGAGAGTGATCTACTGATCTAGGCTGGCAGACAAGTAAAGCTATTTCTGTGTGTTTCTTTCCCCTTCGTGGCCCATGTCCGTCACGCATATCTTAAGGGGGAAAAACGTAAAAATAGGGTTGAATCAATGTCTCGAAAGAAATCGGACAGTTCCTTGCAGTCTTACATTGAGAATATATCTTTCCCATTGAGATATTCTTAACGCACGACTGTAATAGGCTGTACGAATGGTCCATCTCAACGTGTGGACCCTTAATCCATTGAACTTTGTTTGAAGGAAAATTTTCGATAGGTATCTTGTAATTTAGGCCACTGCTAATTTAATATCCAAATTTTAAAATGTAATAATTTAGTATCCCAATTTTCATTTTGCAACAATGTAGTACTGGGTTAATTTACTGTCAATCAGAATATAAAAAAAACATAATTACCCACCAGTTATTTCAAGCAATGCATGAAAATGACTTCAGCTATAATCCTTTCTCTGTAAGTGAGAATCTGTTCATTCACTCTGTTACCTAAAATTCCCAAAACCAATTTCTCACGCCGGTGATATCAAGCGAATGTGACGCTAGAAAAATTGAAATCACACTCAAATGCGACGCCGGAAAAGCTAAAATCTAAGAAACCATTGCCGTTGATGGAAGAAATTGCGTCCCCTTTTTTTTAACTCAGCCACTGCAGGAGAAGAAGACTCTTGTTGTCAACGGCAGAAGAGACAAACCAGGGTATGATCTAATCAGATTTCCGATCAACTGATTATGGCACTTGGCAATCCAAAACCCGTGGCACCTAACTCGCCTGATGTCAACCATTGGTGTGGCCTCTTATACTTATACCATTGGGCTGCCCAACCCCAGTGCTTATAATTGCATTTCCATCCGTCAATTCATCTAAAACCTGAATTGCATACTGGGGAGGAATAGCTTCCACAAAAGTTTTAAAACTCAATGGAAATTTCAACTTCTGCTCATGAAGCTCCTTCCTCCACGCTGAGAAATCAAACTTGAGCTTAGGTTGCTTGTCCTTTATCAACCTGTTTATCGCTTCTAATGCCAACTTTACATCAGTGAAAATTGAGAGGTGTGGCTACTTGCTCTTTCCAATCTCAGCTGGGTCAATATCAATGTGAACAATCTTAGCCCGACTAGCAAAAGCCTCAACCTTTCCCGTCACACAGTCATCAAACCTGACTCCAAACGCAAGCAATAAATCAGATTTCTCTACAGCATAATTGGCATAAACAGTACCATACATTCCAAGCATATGAAGACATAGATCGTCTGATCCGGGGTAAGCTCCAAGACCCATTGAAGTACTCGCCACTGGAATGCCTGTGAGCTCAACGAAACGTTTTAGCTCTTCACTTGAGTTCAAACATCCACCACCAACATACAAGACAGGCTTTTTGGACTCAGATATAAACCGAAGAATCTATTCTAAATGGGCCTCCTCTTGCAATTTTGGCAACCTGGATAGATAATCGGGTAGTTTCATCTGAGTATTCCAGTTGGGAACAACCGGCTGCTGATGAATAATGTCGATCAGTACTGGACCCGGACGACCTGAAGATGCTAGGTAAAAAGCCTCACGCACAATATGGGGAATGTCTTCAACGTCAAGCACAAGGTAGTTGTGTTTGGTGATGGATCGAGTAACCTCGACAATCGGGGTTTCTTGGAAATCATCAGTGCCGATCATCCTGCGAGGACCTGCCTAGTGATGGCAACCAGAGGAACGCCATCAAGCATGGCACCAGCAAGGCCTCTGACGAGATTGGTGGCACCGGGACCCAAGGTGGCAATGTAGACACTTGGAAGGCCCGACGCACGAGCGTAGCCCTTTGCAGCAAGACGCCACCTTGCTCATGTCTGGGAAGATCATTGAGGATTATGGAGTGGGTGAGGGCTTGGTGTATTTCCATGGACGCTCCACCTAGGTAGGCAAAGACAGTGGTTACACCTTCCCGTTCGAGAGCTTCAACGAGCACATTGACACCTTTTCAGGGTTCATCAGGGGCGAATCGAGGAACGAAAGTTGATGGAGAGGAGGGGGAGGTGGTGAGGGTAGCATTGGTGAAGGCAGTGGCAGTGGCGGGGGCAGCGGCAACGGAGTGTTTTGGCTTCCCATTTGAGAGGTTGCTTGCCATGTAAAGAGGACAGAAGGAACTGGTTTTCTGGTGGTTTGTCGAGAGGGGGAGTGAGATCTAGTAATGGGGTTTCAGCAAATTGAAGGAAGGGAAGTGGGAGGGCTTTGAGAGGGAGAGCTGTGTAGAGGTAGACGCCATTGATGGCATCGAAAGGGATTCAGTACAGGGTATAGGAAGAAAGATTTATGCAGGGCACATGTATATATCTAGATACGTACAAGAACAGCCCACCAGTGACGCCACCGTTGGAGCTGGACCATTTGAACGATCAAGATCTAGGGCTCAACCACTCAACGAGATGGGATTTTCATGGACAATTCCTATGAAGAGCGGTCAGAATGAAGAGAAAGGGATGGAACGGTCGGAGTTTTCATAAAGGTTAGTTTTGGTATTACAAAAATATTTAACCCACACCTGATATCACGTGATGGTTCTGACTGATGGTGATTTAACATTGGGTACTAAATTGTCGCAAAATGAAAATTTGGAAACTAAATTGTTGTGTTTTAAAGTTTGGGTACTAAATTGAAACTCGGCCTAAAATACAGGGCACCTATCAAAAATTTTCCCTTGTTTTAATTTAGATGGGTTCCAACCTAAAGCTGTCCATCGATATTCTTATCTTTATTAATGGACTAGATATTGGCTCAATCCAATCCAATATAAACTCATTACTATAGACCAGGTCCAATCCAATCTACTAAATGTTTTGGACCATTAAATCTGGACTGATCAAATTCAATATGTTTTATTGATCCACCCAATCCTTTCAAATTGATTTTAGTTTGGACGGATCCAATCCAAAAGTGGGCCATGCTGCACAGCCCACATTGCAGGTATAGTTTGGTGGAGATGCATGTTGGTTGGGTGTTTATCGTGCGTGGACTTTATTTTATAATATATTTATTATGATATTTCAGAAAATCCTCTTATGAATTTCAATACTAATCATTGCATCAATGAAAGGATTGCCAAATACAATTAAATGGCATTTATCATTGTTTTAAAACCATCACTGACATGGGAAGTTGAACCGCTCAACCCAAGAACCGTCCCCTATCTGGTTTCATTTATATAATTTTTATTTTTAAATATTTAATAATAATATGATGAATTGATCCATTTGGACTGAGCAGTCAAACCACTTAACCACTGAAACCAATTCCATTTCTAAATCAGTTTTTAAATCATTGGCAATATATTTTTGTTTACTGTGGCAAACTGGTGAAATGGAACACTCGTGAAACAAATTGGTGCCAACTGCCAAATACTCGTAAAAAATTACATAAAGAAGAAGGATAAACTCAGTGGATCATACTATCATAGATGCTCAATTGATATGAGACGTGAGAAATGATAAATGTTTTCGTGAACAGGAATGTAAGCTGTAGGGAGTAGGGACCAAAACAAGTTGAAAGGTGGGCACTGGGCAGTCCTCCATTGGTCAAAGCTTTACTATGGGCTCGAGCTTTGTCTATGAAGAATTTTTACTTTATTACGATTCATCTGACTTGGTAACTAATCTTCATGAAAAAGAAGGCTAACAAATGGATGAAGCAAACGATTCATCTAGAAGTGAAGATGTTTCTAATACACGGATGCACAGGGGCTGTGTAGATGGTGTGAGAGCAGTCTTGTGAGGGCTGAATCCAAATTCGAGGTAAACACTGATGGAAGAAATCAAATGAATTTATGCAGTTTTTTGTTATTAAAAAAATATCATACATGGACATACACAGTAGACTCCGGTTTCAGTCCAGGCTGCTTCAGTCAGGGCACTGTTCGCGCGATTGGAGGTTGTTTGAACGTTTGAGGCATGCGGAGAGGTTGTTTGAAACGTTTGACGCCGTTAGCTTTCAAAACCCACGCCAACTGAAATTCCACTTTGCCTGAAACTTCCGTTCGTCGCCAAAGAAATGAGAACTCTGGCAGTTGATCCTTCCATAGGTCGCCTGAATGTCTGTGTTATGAGCACCCGCACCACACGGCAGCAGTTGAGGCAGCAGCGCGCACATGATCGGCACCGCACGGCAGCGGCACCATGAGCCGCGCGCACGCACTGCGCAGCAGTGGCACCGCGCGATGGCGGCACCATGCGCCGCGCGCACGCACACCGGCAGCAGCAGCAGAGCAGGGCCCACACGACAGCTCATAGGGTGGGCCCACCCTTATCCGGACACGTCAAGAGAACGCGCCTTATCCCTTATCCCATTCTCCCTTATCTTATCCCCTATTCTTATAAGGAATTGTAGTACCATTAAAAGTAAGTAGTCTAATTAGAAGTAGGAGTTTGAGTCCGTTTAAGACTAACCTAGCCGAATCCAACAATGAACCCTCCTCTTGTAATCTCCTATTTAAGGAAACGCCATTATTGAATGAGAATATCGAATATTCAGTCAAGAAAGAGAGTAAATGAGAGTTCGGTGATCTCTTGGACAAATCACCCACAAGATAGTCAAGATAGGGCATGTACGCAAGGCCAAGGGCAAGGAAAGATCTAAGGTTCCTGCGATAGAGCGACCCGTGACGCGATCCTATGCTCGGGCCCATAACAGTCCGTATCTCCGTTCTTCCCCTCACGTATTTCACGAACCTTGCTTTAACCGTTCCTGAAAATGGAGAGCAGCAATTGAAGGTAGAAGAGAAAGGATTTCTCTGGTTTTAGTCTCGTTAAAGAACATACCTCCTTTGAAGATCCAGCCATTAGATGGCCATTTGCTTGAAGAGTTTGTCGTGAAATCGCGGTTAAGCCTGTCGTGAAATTGCATCTCAAGAGGCTCTTCCAGCGACAAAAGTTCCCAAGTATTTGTTAGACAGTTTTGTATGCCCTTAGCTTCAATCAGAATGATATACATTATGAGTTTATTGTAAATGAATAAAAGTACATATTTGATTAATGTTCCCTTGGTATGTTTCTGTGTAATACCCTTAAACTGGACACTTAATGAGACTCGTGTTAGTTTATAATGTTCACAGTCAATGGGTCGGTCTGAGGAGACCTATCCCGATAAGGCTGACACTGTTATACCACCAAGTCGGTTAGGGTGGCCTGTCTCAACTACTAGTGAGACCCTAGACACATACAGTGTAGGATTAATTGAATCTTTGAACTGGACCAGATTTCCAGTATAGCCCTGGACCTTGGAGATTAATGGGCAAAACTGGAAAGTTATACCCGACCCCTAGACTCGATTATGATACTACACTAGGTGTCGGATTGGACTGTCTTTGATATACCAATCAGCGAGATCCTTAACGGGGGTCAAAACCTGGGTATGTTGGGACAGTCTGAGAATTCATCTAAGTGGGTGATCATAGTGACAGGATCAGCCCCTTTGTCGGATAAAGGTAATGATCGGGGATACACTCTCACTGATGGAAACCAAGACTGTCGGCTGCCGATTTCAATCGTTGAGATTTGTCTTGCAAAATATATTTTATATGAGATATAAAAGTATATATACTATGGTTTCTAAAATGTTTGCAAAAGGTTTTAATTCCCGGGATCCATATAAACAGAGAGTGCAACACTATTCCTTGCAGCCGAGGGAGAGGTCCTCTCTTGTCAGGCAGTGTTTGATCATTATGGGCTGAGAGGTTGAGTATAAGACCATTGAGAGCAATACCTGATTGGCTAATCTTACATCTGCCCACAGTTCCTGAGTGTTACAAGGTGATTTGGCCCAATGACCACTTAGGGTAAGTGTTGGGCCCATAAAGCCCATCTGATGGGTTTCAGGGGGTGCACTGTCCATAGTAGTGTATTCGGCCAGGCCTTGTAACAAAGGCTTGGCCGAACCCATGTGATTGATGTGTAGATCAATGTTTGGGTCCCATGCCATACAAGAAAGCCCAACTGGGCAGCAGTTTGGAAGGCTTAGTGAGCACACAACCCTAATGAGCCTAAAGCCCATTCCGAACATGGCTGATTTGATCAGTTTAAATAAGGGGCGGATCTGGGATTAAATCAGTTAATAGAATTGGGCATTGACCCTATCCACTCAAAGAGTCCAAGATCTAAATCTTATTTAGATCTAGGAGCCTCCTAATAGGATTAGGAGAAGACTGATCTAATCCACAGATAATATAAGGGTTTATCCTTATCACCTAAAGAAATGTCTGATCCAAATGTGATTTGGATCAGCAACTCCTAATTGGATTAGGAGCTGATCCTTTAGGGTTACAAGAAAAGAAGGGGCGGCAGCCTTTAGAACAACAGAGAAAACACATCACCAAGTTCTCTAGTCTTTAGAGCTAAAATCACAGAAGAAATATTTATGCAATCTCTGCGAAATTCTTTCTTGCTGCCTCCTTCCTGTCGCTGCCAGACCTCTAATTCGATCTCCAACTTTGTAGGAAAAATCAAGATTCGATCTTGATAGCAGCTTTTTGTGAAATGACTGATTGGAAGCAGTGTTCACGTGCCATCCAGCTATTCTTACGAATGATCAGGTTCTTGGAGAACGCTGTTGATTCTGCTCCATCCTACACTGCGCCTTTTTTAGTGGGAGCAGTCTTTGGATCCTTCCTTGGGCGTGAATACCTCCATTGAGAGATAATACTTCTCTATATCAGGTATACCTCTCTCATCTTTTTGATTCAGATCTGGTTCAGTTTATGGTTCAAGATTGATCGTTGAAAATATGATTTTCTAAATAAGAATGCGATTCCCAGTTGAAAGGAAGAGAAAAATTTTTGAAATTCGCCCACCTTATTCCGCAAGATTTAGGCGTCCATACGATGGATCTCTCATCCCTTCAGTGTTCTGAGGTTTTCATCGACTGAGAAGCCCGTCCTTGGTGAACCGATGCCGACAGCTTCCTGTGGCGATGCCTGCAAATTTCTCAAGGTATACTGATTTTCTAGAATCTCTTTTAATTTAATATATTCAGTTAGTGAAGGGAAGAACTTTAGCATGACTTATTTTGAAACGAAAATTTCCCCTTTTCTTGAACAAAGCTTGGTTCCTTGTGCGAGCGTTGCCGAGAGAAACCTCTTAGCGGACACTGCGAAGATCATAAAGAAGAACAATAGCTGCAAGCTTAAGGATGATTGCAGAAAGATCGTCACTGATGGTCTTATTAGTCTTGGCTACGAAGTTCAAAGTCCACACATATTCATCTTCTTGAAGCTGAGTCAACCGTCACCATACCCAAGGTCCTAAGCCAAACAGCCAAGAACACAGATCCTTAGTCTCCCATCTCTCTCTCTCTCTCTCTCTCTCTCTGTCTGACAGGGCTGATATTAGTTCTGCCGCAAGAGCAAAGCCATGCAGAGACGGAGACAGAAACAGAGTGCTTGAGCTTGAGATGGAAGTCATGGAGAAGACGAGAAAGATGAATTCGGAAACGTTAACTTTGGTACTGGTGAACCTGGCGGGAATCATGGAGAGAGCAGATGAGTCGCTGCTACCAGGGGTGTAGGAGGTCGGGGCGGCACTCAATACCGACCCAACTGGTTTGGGTTCTCTCACCCTCTTTCGATCCATCCCGCCGCCGGTGATGGTTGTTTGTCGCCGGCGGTAATAGTTGTTAAGTCGTTGTCGGATGGATGGGAGAGAGAGAGAGAGAGAGGGAGAAGAGAACCTACGACACTAGAGAGAGAGAGGGACTCGAAAAAATGGGTTTTGAAAGCTAACGGCGTCAAACGTTTCAAACAACCTCCTCGCATGCTTCAAACGTTTACACGGTTAGAGGACACGTGGCGCATCCTCCAATCGCGCGAACGGTGCCTTGACTGAAGCAGCCTGGACTGAAGCTGGACTCGACACAGTAATGTTGGTCGGCTTTGGATTTTAAAAGATGGTGGGGTAGGAAAAACCCATTTCTCAGACATTCTTCCCTAGTCCACTATCTCATCTTCTGGAGAACGGAAATTCCTACCTTTCCAAGTTAACAAGATCAATTTTTCTCTACACTTGGCCAACGTTACTATGCCTGCTTCTTTCTTATTGTCTTCAACACAAAAATTACAATCTATAGATAGTGGCAACGAAAACCTGGCGGAGCCTCTTCTCTAGTTTTCTGCATCAATGGAACAATCAGGCTCTTCGTACCTCTCCTTGTTTATCACACTTTTCATGCTAGGAGTTGATAAGCTCTGCATGATCATTCTAATGGTAAATTAATCAAATAGCCTAGAAGATGAAAGAAAAGTAAATAGTAAACACAAACTTAATGGAAATGAGGCAATGATTTTGAGGCAAAATTAGGGAGAGCTCCTTCATTTTACCAAAAAAATTGAGAGATGAATTAAACACACAAAATCACTTTATTTTATTGCAAAATAAGCAGAGGAGAGAATCAACACTAAACATGGTCTTGTCTGGATTTCCATAGAGTTCAATCAAACTATTATTTTCCAAAGAAAACATTAAAGGCACACCCTTATTTTGGGCATTGCTGAATATTTGGAAGGAGCATATCATAATCTATACTGTTATAAAGCAAATACTTGACTTGGGTTTGATGCAGGTGATAAAAGTTAGATTTGATTATGTAATGTCAACTTATATGTTTACCATTTACTTGCATAGCATGTGCCCTTGTGCTAGTACAATAAAAGTCAGCACCCAAATATATTGAAATCACTAAAATATGATTATTGGGGCCTTGCATGGAATGATGGTAAAATCTTGAGTTCATAGGTGCATAAGGCATGGGTTCAAGTTGACAATGGCTACTTTCCAAAGGTTAGGTCTCTATCCAGTGATTCCAGTCCTAGCCTCCCAAGACCCAGATATCCAGGACCAACATTGGAAAAATGGTCTTTTCTTTTTTACCTGGATATAAGACATAATCCGTGTTATGATCTTAAACAATACTTTGCCGTGTTTGACTTGGAATAATAGTTTATATGAAAAGAAGTAAAGAACCAGTGCTAAAAGCACTGGTACAGGGAAAGGTGAAATGCATGATTACCTAGAAAAGGCTTAAAGAGAAGTGAAGTAGGCACTCCTTTGCCAAGTAAGCCATTATCTGCATCTCCTCTTCTGGGAAATTCCCATTCAAAAGTGGGTCAGGCAATTCCAGGATCACCCTTTTGCTATCCTGTAAACGAGAATAGGAGCAAAACCATTGTAATTCAAATCAGTATGCTCTCACATCCCGAGCGGGCACCTAAAAAGTTCCCCTTCCTCCAACTCTAGATGCAGCTACAAAATCAAATATTTTCTTACCAGCCCATCTAATAAACAATTCAATTCATGGCTTCACAATGGCATAGAAATCATTAGGTCAACCATGATAGTTAAATCAGTCACACCCAATGGTTTTGGCATTCACAGGCACATTTACGAACCAAATGAGAACCCCATGTTCTTTTTCACTAGTTTAACAGTGCATCATGCTATCAATCTCAAGATACTTACAAACATCGAAGGATAACAACTCAAGGATCATGTAAATACTATCAGATGCAACATGAGTTTCATCCTTTGTAGTGAACAAGTGTGCCTTCCCCTTTATTTCAACCCAACTATAACCTAACTCCTTTCTTGCCTCTCTTCCCCTCATACACCTTCTAATCTCTGAAATCTCCACCCATCTCCCAATAGATGCATACATCTCAATCACCATTAAGCATGCACTTGAATTACATGGTTCGAGTTTTAAAACCTTATCAGCAGCAAATACACCTAATTTCAAATCTCCCCAAATCCTACAACCATTCAACAATGTTTTCCAGAAGATAGCTACAGGTTCAAAGGGCATTTTCAAAATCATATCAAGTGCTTCTTTTATAAGCCCAGCACGTGCAAGGACATCAACCATGCATGCATAATGTTCAGGAAGAGGAGGGATCCCATGATCAATTTCCATACTATCAAAATAAAGCCATGCTTCTTCCACAAATCCACAGTGACTACAACCTTGAAGAACACCTAAAAAACTTACACCATCTGGAAAAATATGAGCCTTTTGCATCTGATGGAAAGTCATGATTGCCTCCAAACCATATCCATGTTGTGCATAACCACTAAGCATAGAATTCCAGGTAATGGTGTCAGGTCTGGGAATAACCACAAAAACGTGCCTAGCATCATAGAAACTACCAGACTTTATAAACATAGAGATGGCTGAATTTCCAACATGGATATTAATCTCAAATCCTCTCTTAATCAGTTGAGAGTAAAGTTGTTGACCAATGGATAGTGCAGCTAAATCTGCTGTAGCAGTCAAAGCACTAGTAAAGGAATGGGGAGTTGGATGAATTCCTGCAGATAGCATTTCCTTGAAGAGAATCAAAGTTTCGGCAGCCAATCCATTTTGCTGGAAACCTGATATAACCGAAGACCAAGAAATGGAGTTGGGCTCTGGCATTTGCTTGAATAATTGCCATGCATCTTCAATTTGTGAATCATGACAAAGCCCAGAAATTATAGTGGTCCAGCTAATGACATCTTTGTCAGGCATGATTAGGAAGAACTTCAATGCAATATGCATCTTTCTTTCGTGGGTGTAAGCCATTATCATGGAATTCCAAGAAACAGTGTTCCTGTGATGCATTCTGTCAAATATCTCCCTTGCATCTCTGGTCCTATGGTTCTTGATGTAACCCCTGATCATCACATTGCAAGAAACACAATCTCGATGATTCATCTGATCATAGATTCTCCTTGCATAATCTATTTCCCCTTTCTGTGAGTGCTCCAATATTCTTTTGGTAAGTGCAACCATATCTCTGTCCTTTATATCATTATTAGATAGTACACCCATATTGTATGGATTCCGATGATCAGATATTGATTTTGCAACTATTTTATGAAACATTATACATGTGACACGCATGGTGTTGTTTACCAAGTTTCCCCTGCAGGTTGCAATTACCATATTCTCAATCTTAGAGAGCACTCATCCCAAAAAGAACCACGGGTTCAGCTACATGGAAATCTTCTTCCGAAGGTTATGTGTCCATAGACTTCCCTATACTTAGCTGGGACTGAACAAATGACCTTATGGTTGCAATTCAAAGCATCAATAAATTGAGTTACAAGCTTAACCCAACTATATCCAAAACTTGATAATGGTGATGAAGGTGTAATTCCATGCATTCTGAGCATCAAAAGGAAATCCTGCATGCCTTCAAAAGGGAACCAGATGTCATGAAAAATCGATAATATTTTAAGGAATGCAAAACAGACATTTTTTTATAAATAATGCAAAATAGGCATTTCTTTCTTTTCTTACAAGTGATAGGAGAATATATTACTAGAAGATAAAGAGGGTGGAGAGAAAGAAGCTGCAAAATGAACTAAAAATTGCCAAATATATGATTCTTGTAGAGAAAAATGAAAAAAAAAAATATGAGGGACTTTTTGTGGGAGCTTGGGAAAGGGAAAAAAAAAAGATCATTTGATTAGGTGGGAAAAGGTGAGGCAGTTGAAAGGTGAAGGGGGTTTAGGAATTGGAAATGTAAAACTGAAGAATGTGGCTCTGTTGAGTAAATAGCTTTGGAGGTTCCCCAAAGAAAATGAGAAATTGTGGATAGAGTTATTTCAAGTATCCATGGGCTATCAAGCAACGGTTGGGATGCGGGCTGCTTGCAGAGAGATACCTTGGCTGCACCCTGGAAGGCCATCCATGATATTCTTCCTTTGTTTCTTCCCCACATAAGGTATGACTTGGCTTTGGGTCAGAAAATCAGATTCGGGGAGGACATCTGACTCAGGGACTCCCCCTTGTCAGAGGTCTTCCCTTGCCTCTTTGCTCTTTCCAGACTCAAGGGTAAACCTATTAGTGATTTTATCTGCTCATCCTCTTCCTCTTCAAACTTGAGTTGGAATTTGGGTTTTACCAGAAATCTAAGAGAATCTGAAATTTCTAGTGTCTCTACCTTGGTTAACTTGTTGAATTCAATGGCTTTGAGGATTTGGTTGGGGATTTCAATCAGTTAGGTTATTTTTCTTGCAAATCTTTCTTGAACTCTCTTGTTAGTTGTTGCCACTTCCTCCTCTCCTTCTTTCCCTACCAAGGGGATTTGGTTTCGGCCTATCCCTCCTAAAGTCAGTGCTTTCTGTTGGGAAATTTTCCATGGTTCCATCAACACCTATGACTTACTTCAGAGAAAAGGACCAAATTGGTGCTTGTCACCAAACCGGTGCTCCTTATATAAGCTGAACGGTGAGACTGCCTTTCATCTCTTTATCTCATGTTCTTTTGCTAACTTTATTTGGGAGTGGTTTTCCTCTTTGTTTGGTTGCAGCTGGATTCCTCCTGCTAATCTAGAAGATCTTTTTACCTCCAACATATTCAGGTGCTCTAAAAGGAGAGGCAAAGTGATGGGAAGGTGCACTAGAGCAGTAGTGGCTTGGACAATCTAGGAGGAAAGAAATCTGAGGATATTTGATAATAAGGAAAGAAGTAGAGATGCTGTGATTGAAGTGATAACTATAAGGGTGGCCCCACCTATGGTCCAAGAACTCCCCAACGGAGTCACCAATCTATGAGCATCGGGAAACAGCTTACTTGGGCTGATTTGGAGTTGCCACCCATCATTTGAAGGAAATTGAGGTGATGGGTCATGGGACCCCCGAGAGTGGTTTTCAAAACATTTTTGTTTTAGTAGCAACTCCAAAGCCCAAGGCACCAGCTAACCAGTCCAGGTAAGACTCAGATGGGAGAGGAATGGGGTTAGGCACCCCTCTCTCGGGTCCAACAGGTAGGGCCCACATGACATCCCAAATAGGCATAATCTCAAATACACAAGCAATCAAAAGCATAACAATGATAGAGAAAAGTAACAAGCTTATAACAAACCAATAAAAGAGAACCTACCCTATTTTTTATTTAGTTGTTATCTTTTTTATTTATTTTATTTTATTATTATCATTATTTTTCTATGATTTTATCATTTGTTTATGTTATTCTCTTATGGAATCCCATTTGTATATTTATTTTATAGAATTACTTTTTACTTTTTTTTTGAAATTTTTTACGTTTTTGTGTTTTTATTATTTTTTCTTTATTTTTCTCTTTTTTATTTTTTATTCTTGTTTCCGCTTTCAGTAGCATATTCTCCCATGCAAATATATCCTATCTATCAAGCTAAACACCTGAATCTATTGATCACATCTGTTATTACAGATTTTCACTTTTATTTTTCTTCTTTTTCTTTATCATATCTTTTGTTATTATTATTTTTTTTTGTTTCAAATCTGTTTTGTTTTTCTGTAACTGGCATTCTTCCCTTCTCATTCTAATTCGCATACAAATGTGGATCATTCCAGCTCTGTTATCTTCCCTCTTTTTATTGAATTAATTTTATTTGTGGTGGAATGAATCCCGGTAATCCAGAGTCTCACACCGACTGTCATCTCCAACTATTGTCCACTGTCACTCTAACAACTAATTAGATCTAATGTTTCTCATTTCAAGTTCAACAAAGAAGGCCGAACCCACTGAACACTTAACCCAACTCCCAAGAAAAACATGGTGACAAAATATCAAACAACATAGAGGAATTCGAAAGATAACATCAGTTTTAATAACAGTAAATATGGCAAATAGTAGGTCTGCTAAACACTGATATTTCAGAACCGGAAATCTCAGTTTTAAGAGAGAGAGAGAGAGAGAGAGGATAGCATATCAGCATTGTTATAATAAAGGAAAATATTAACTAAAAATGGCAAGAAAGGATAAGTTTTGTAACATTTCGTAGCACACGTATTCTTTCGTGATGTAAAAGAGAAACGTCGATGATTCCACGGAGACCGGTTCTGCTAGATCCTCATTACCGGCTCCGACAACCACCCAGACAGTACTCATTCCATGATGAAACGATGGAAGAAATGAAGAAAGAATAAATGAAACAATCTAAAAAAATCGATGAAAAAACAGAGCTTACCTGTATTAAATGTTGACCTAAGTTCAATGAACGAAACAGGGCAAACTTCGATCTGCTGTGATCTGTGACCGATAGCTGGAAAAGAGATGATCCTCGTTGATTGCAACCAGGGGCTCGGTGAGAAGAAACGATTCTTTGGGTGTGGGTTTCGCCGGAACTGAGAAGAAGGATACCTCAAGTGATGGCTGCCATGCGATTCTGCTCAGCCGGTGCGGAATACTGAGAACAGAGGGTCGGTGCGTGGTTGGGGAAGTCCGAAATCGTTGAAACACGACACTACTAATGACGGAGAATGAGAAGAAATCCAACAACGGTGAGAAACCACAAAAAAAATATGGAGAAAAACGGGATTGGCACCGCCGCTGGATCACTCGTTCTCGTTGGGGAAGATGATGAAGAGTGTCCGCAAATGGTGTGTTAATGATTTTGGAATGTTACAATTAGAGGAAGAGAGAAGGGAAAGGAGAGAAAAATGGGAGAAAAACGGTGAGAGAGAGGGGGATCGGAGGAGGAAACTTGCCGCCGTTGCCGCTGTGCGTCGAGAGGGAGAAGAGAGTGAACAGTGCCTATTCGAGTAGATTTTCGGCGAAGGGTTACATACTTTTTTTTTTTTTTTGAAAGAGTTTAAGGGTTAAATACTTAAATTGCCCTTATGCTTTTAGCAAATGGACATAAATTATATCAATTTTTTGAGGGGCAAATTTCTTAAGCTATTCCTATGATAAATTGTAACCTTTATTGCTTAACTAACGCCTTAAACCATCATGATTAACTCTACCCTAGTATTCCATAAAACCTAATAATTTCCTTCGTCCCTCAGCCCATCCAGAATCACATTCTCGTTAAAAGCCCTTCTCTTTTTCCCTTTTTCTCCCCTCCCTCTTCTCTACCGTAGCAGGTGCCGAATGTGAATGTGGGTTCAAATAAAAGACACAGACGCATTCTTCTTGGGTTTGATGACCGCAGCGGTGCCCCTGATTTTGAGCAAGTGTGGAATCTTTTCAACACCTATTTCAGTTTCAGCCGTGTCATCAAATGGCCCCCCTAGTGCAAATGGAATGTTCAACGAAATTAAAAGAGCCACAAATAGCCAACACCTTAAAAGGCGGTAGAGATATAATTCAGCAACTTAACTCATGGATTTTGGCATCATTTGATCACGCGTCTCTTACCATATCCAACACAAGCAAGATCACTTAATGCTGAATTGCTGATGCACCCATCACTATGTACCCAACGATTAGAACACTTGTCGCAGCATTTAACCATCCATTCGGCCCAACATGTAAATTTTAACAGAAGCAAGATCACATACACTGTAACCTAGAATCAATGTCTAGACTGATTTGCAGACCCAGAAAAGAACCTTCAAGATAACTGAACTACATTGTCATTTGACATTAATTCCATTGATGGAAATTGGAAAATTCCAGCAATGGCATCAATTCCTTTTGCCCAGTGACCTTGCACATGTGGACTGTACATAAACGTCATCTTTTGGTTGCTTCTGCCACCATCCTCCACTTGTTTTTCCTTCTCTCCAGCCCCTAAATAATATCCCTTTTGTATATAGGAACAGGTGGCTGGCAAGGGAACCAAGAAGCCAATCATGTTGTTTACTTAATCCTCCATTTATCTCCCCTGCTTAGTAGACGAGTGGAGGAACTAGTGTAACCTCTGAACCATGCGCCATAAAATACCAAAAGGATGGTCATCTCATAAATCTGCTGACCATAAATTTACCTTTTTTTAATTTCAATTCGCCAATTTGAGGAAATCTAAGTGCTGCTTTTTCAATACTCTTGGAAGTTGAGGATGCCTTTCACGGCAATCTGGATTTGACGGTACGCCTGTGTGGGGAGATGCTACCATTCTTCTTGTGTCCGAAAGAAGGCAAGAATGCATTTCAACCATCAACTTCACATGGTCGGATTTGCTAGAGTTTATCATATGGGTTACAACTACAAACGTCGATTCATCATCCTTGATTCCTAGACGAGTTTCATTTTAAAAATTTAAAGAATAATAGAGGGTAAATTTGACATTTTATTGTTTGTGTTTAACAAAATATCAATTGTAGGGGTACTTTAAGACAATATATAAAGATTTAGTCAATTAGTTAAACCATAAGGATAGTCTAAAAAATTTGTCATTTTTTTAGTTCCAAAGTTAATATTACCTTTCATTATTCTTCAAATTTTCAAAATAAAACCAAACTGCATTTCTTCTCACGATTGTCGAAGAACATGATAAACACTCTCAAAACAATAATGAATTGGACTTCTCACAGGTATATTGGTGCCCGCTTTGTTTTACCACCATATTTCTCTTCCCAACATCAGAATAATTGAATGTAAATAAACAAAGTTGTGTGGTACTTGCCTTCCACCAGTTGGGCTGTGCGATGCTTGAGAGAAAAGAGTACAGAAGTGCCCATAACTAGTTCGAGACGTCAGCCATGGCGAGACATGTATATCCCTCACTACCGTTGCAAGGACCAAATATAAACATGGACACAAGTACTCATTGTACAAGAAAATGAACTCCCTTATCTCTGAGCATACACCAGTTGGGTGGATGTACCAAGAGCAATCCTTGTATTGTATTGGGAAAGAGAAGACGATGGATTTAAACACAACGATTGAATTGGATTCCGTACAAATACAAGGTTGTTGTAATGGCAGAGGAGGAGAAGAAGATTGGAGCAGCAATCTCATAGCTCATTAAGATCATCGGGTTCAAGGTCTTTACAGGATGCTTTGAATTGCATCCATGGCCTTCTGTATCAGTTTCTCCAACTCACCCTTAGAACGCCCATCATCGTCCTTGTTGTCTTCATTGTCTTCAATGCCATCGCCACTATCGGATCTCACTAAACCCAGAGGTGTTAAGTTCATTGCCGAGGTTTAGCTCTATTCGGATGCTTGACTGATGGGTAAGAGCAATTGGGCCTTAATGTTGAGCTGTCTCAACTACCTTACCAGTGAGTTTTTATCAAACCTGATGACATGGGGCGGATCAGTGGGCTAAACAGTGTGCTTTGTTATCCACTCATGTGTGGTCTCCATCTCAACCATCCATTACAATAAGGTTGAGTATATTACGAAAAGGGGACTACAATGGTCTAAAACTCATATTGTATGGGAAAGAAAACAAGGGAATCTAGGTGGAGTTCCAGTAAGATTGCCCCATTTTCTTCTTAAGATATGTTACATTTTGAAATTTTGAAGAAAAATTAAGGGTAAAGTAGTCTTTTTGATATTTCCATTACAGGTTCCTAATGGTTGTCTATTGTGAGAAATGTTTGGGGTACTTTAAGTAATTTCTTAAACAATAGGGTAAATTTGTGCCCATTTATTAAACCATAAAGGTAGTTTAAGCATTTAACCCTAAGTTTGAATTTATATGAAAGGAAGGGCATTTTTAGTAATTTTGGGTATAAGGGGCAATTTTGGTAATTTTGAAAATTCAAGGGAAATTTGGTAAATTTGGTAAGGGGGTTAAAGCGGGGTCTAGGTTTAAAGGAGAGGATTTCGGGTCAATAATTGAGGGTTAGGATGAGTATGCGCATTCACATTGATTTTGTATAAGTCAACATGATTGGCCGAAATGGAATCTTTTTCAAACGGAGGTGCCAATGAGGATATTTTTAGCTGAAATTTTGTAGGGTGGGATTTTTTATCATTTCAAATTGAATGGTGAGGTCAAATTAGCTCAACTAAGCCTAGATTAAGTAGATCATGAAGGGGGAGTGATTCGGTCAATCCAAAGCCTCGAAACAAATCTTTGTACAATTGAGACTTGAGAGGCAAATTTGAGATGAACATTTGTAGGTAGGGGTTTAGGGTCTAGGGGATCTAATGGTAATGTTTGATTGGTTCAGGGGGTCAAGATTGGGGGAATTTGGATCAACAAGAGTGTCCGAAATAAAATTTTATCTTAATAAAAGGCTAAATGGGAAAGTTCTGGGTTCAAAATTTATGGGCAGGCATTTTCACATGTCTGAAGTCCAATGGCATATAGTCTGATTGATTCAAATGTGTTTGGATCAAGGGGATACGGGTTGCTGATTGTGGGTGTTTAGGCTAACGAGAGAGCTTAAAAGGAAATTTTGGTTTGATGGATGGGTGGATGGAGGAGTCTCGAGATGAAATTTTATGGGCAATTATTTTAGGAGGTGAAAGCGTCGGAAAAACCAGCTCACTTGCCACTTGGGCTGGAAATGAAGTTGTCACCATCAATTTAGGAGCTGGAGGTGATATGACCTCCGGGAATGATTTTCAAAAAACGTTTTTATTTTAATAGTGACTCCAAAGCCCAAGGCACCAACTAACCAGTTTGGGTAAGACTCAAATGGGAGAGGGAAGGGATTAGGCACCCCTCTCCTAGATCTAATAGATGTGGCCCACATAGTATACCAATAAACAAGCATGAAAATGAACAATTATTTGGACAAAAAAGATGATAAAGAAAAAAGACCACAACAATAAACCAACATAAAAGTAAATTTTACCTTTTTTTTATTTTTTATTTATCTATTTTTGTTCTAACTTTTCCTAACTCACCAATATCCCTTAACTGCTAAGCTAACTACAGTCCCAATTATCGCAGATTTCATTACCATTACTTTTTTGTTTTTATTATTATTTTTAGAATCATGCTACTCTCTCTATAGCTGATATCCCTTCCCATTTAGTCTAATTTCCAAACACATTGAATCACCTTTGATCTAATCACTCAATTTAAACTACTTAAATCGATGAAACAAGCCAAACAACTACTTACTTCACACTCAAACAACTAAGACGAAGAGGACATAATCTGATTAACCAGCAATTAGCGATTGACAATGCGGATAAATAGCAAGGATATGATCAGAAACATAATAGAACAAATGACAGATTAATGGGATACAAATAAGAGATCAATTTTATGTTTAGAGTTTAGACTTCAAGCTCAACGATTATCCCACTTTAACCCATCTAAATTTCATAAGAAAGATGGAAAAAAAGGAGAAAAAGAAAAAGAAAAAGAAGAAATAACTGGTCGGTAAACTAGTAACATAGATCAGTCCAGAAACAAGCAAGCTAATAATAGATATCAGTCCAGAAACAAAATCAAATCATATGAAAGAAAAATTATGTTGATCTTGATCCTCCTAATAGTTTACGAATATAAGAAAAAACATAGAACTATCAAGGAAAGAAAGAAAGGAAGGAAAACAGGAAAACAATAAAGAAACTATGTCGAGATTTGGGTTGGGGGTGAGAGTCTATAGGAACACCAGTTCCGTTGAATCTCTCCCCTTCCTGCTAGTCTCGATTACATCCTAGTATCGTAGAGAAAATGATGCCATGTAGGCGCCACATCAGAGAAAGCGGTGCTTCAAACAACGCCCTCTTGTTTGGTACCATTTTTCTAAAAAAAAACATTGCTCCAGACTACGCCTTGGAAATCAGGAAAGTCTGGAGCAATACCAAATTCAATGTTTTCTAAGAAAACGGTGCATAGCTAACAATGGTGCAATGATGTGGCATCTTCTTGGACGTTGGATAATGTAGATCAATGTTGAGATTGTTACTGCCAGCACTAATACCAATCAAAACCAGTGTTGTTTTCTCAGAAAATGCCTATGTGGCAGCACCGATTCCAAACAAAAAATAAGCGCCTACAACTCCACATGTGCAGCACCGTTTTTATGAAAAAATGGTGTGATATTCCCAGCACCAATGCCAAATACCAACTAAATATATGTGCAAACTTCCAAGGGATATATAGTCAAAATAAACATTGTGAGCCCTACTCAAGACTGACCCATCCCTTTCCATTTCCCGCTTCCTATATTTTCTCTTCTTTCCCTCCCTAGTCTGTTATTTTCTACCTTCTCAGCCTTTTCTCCATGGAGGACGTAGAAGCCTTAAATGAAACTTTTCGAAATATGCTTCATGTAAATAACCTGTCTGGTATTGAGCTTGTTGATATTCAACCTCACCTTCTAGAAAATCTTCATGGAAACTAGGCCTCTTCTTTTGTCTGTAG